TTCTGACTTTATGCTTCCCTTTGTGTGTATACGGATATATTTCAGTGCATCAAATAAATGTAAAACCATCTGCACTCAATGACGTCTTAAGAATGCTGCAAGCACCAACAGCAGAAACAGCAGGACGTCGATCTCTCCTCTTCTCTCCCAGACGCATTGCACTTTTACCACGTGTTTGTAATCCAGATATTCTGACAGCAATGACAACGATTGCTCCAATTCCCAGTGCAATTTCACCGCCTGGGCTGGATATGGAACAACGGCGGCCGCAGCAAAGTTTGACAAGCGTCCTTTACAAACACGCACTGCCGTCTTCGCTGGGGCTTTCCTCACAAGCTTGGCGTCCAGAGAACATATCATCATTTCGAAAGCGGCAACGAGTATTGTCTTTGTAAACGTAAACGAGCAAACGCTAGTGAGGAAAAATATTTATAAACTGTTTCCCATTCGAGCGCGCACTGTGCTTCAGGTTTGAATTGCAGGTCCGTGACTCCAATGAAGAAAATGGGAACGATTATTTCGTTTCATTCGTCAGATGGATTAATATTGAAGAGAACCAAGGACATGATCAGCGAACCATGATTTTTTAAGTAAGTGAAAAAAATAAAAAAATTACTTCGTCGAAGGCTTCATTGTTAAAATAAATGCAAAAAAAACGGAAAATTTGACACAAATCAAAATCGTGATCACTGTTGGCATGCTAGAGAAAATTAATTAATAGCATTTTTGGTGATAGAGCTGCACATACGTCAAGTTTAGAGTTACACTCCAAAGATCGTAGCTCCATAGTTATTTTACTTATATAGTTTCAGTAGATAATTTTTATTTACATTTAAGAATTTTTTAAATTTATGAAATATTATTAAATTTCAAAATTTATCAATTCATAAAACATCCACATATATTTCGTCACTGCAAAAAAACCAAATGCATGACAAAACTTCAGTTTTCTCGATCAGATCGCAGCCATGATCGAACACGCATTTTAGCTAGTCAAGCAAGCTGAGTTTCAAAGCAAGTCCCAGTCAGTCCATGTCCAATTGGCTAGCCTTTGTCCGTGCAATTAAGGCAACATTTTCCTGAAAAAATGAGCTATACACATCGATAAAGTAACATAGTCACTTAATCTTCTGCAACGCCAATTCGAAAAGTGAACTCTCCCTACTGAAAAAATAACGCACGACATATTACCTTAAAATTGACAATAATATTATTTTTCTATTGCTTGGCCTGTAATTCAAGTCTCTCTTGAAAGAATTATCAAAAGAAGTCTGATTTCCGTCAAAAACCATGGGCTTCTTTTCTATAAAACATTACATGGTTTCTGAGTCTCACAAAAAAGAGAATCAATGGGAATTTATTATAATTTATTTCCTAATCTAGTTCGATGAAGGTGAACAACAAATTAACTGAAATAACTTTATGCAAACTAATATTTATTAATGTTATAAAACGGACGTTTCTCATCGCAGGGCTGTCGTTCCTGAGGACAGGCATTAGTAAATAATTGCCCGTAACATATTGAGTAAGCATCTCACAAGAAAGGCCCATAAAGTGAGGGAAATATGGGACTGCAAATTTTCTGAGCTTTATCTCTTTCAACTTCTTTGAAACAGGAAAACCATCAAAGAAATGCCCATGAAAGAGTCATTAGAACAGCCATAAATTGCCTGCCCTGTTATGTTAATAATGAACATATTGAGTCAAAATTCCTTTGAGACACTGAGAGCGGAGAAATCTGAGTGGACGCTGATCTGCTTGTATGGTTGGCACATATGAGCGAGCAGCAGCCGCACTGTCTTGAGTTTTTTCTTTTATGGAAGAGTGAGGAACAGATTTCACTCCTTGATTAAAAAACTCGTCAAGCTTCATCGCCGCATGGTCGGAATTTTGGGCCGGCAGGAACGCTGCTCTGGTCTCTAGCCAGGCGCTGGGTGCTCACTCTCTCCAGGACATTTGCCTTCAAATATCATCATTGCACAGGGCATTGAAACTACTGAATTTAAACTGAGTTTTGTCTCCTAAATAAATATATAATTGACTAGAGTGAGATTGTCCACAATATTCTAAAATATTCTAACGAAATATTTTAGAGATCGGGTGGGTTCGATTCATCACTATGAAGGAAATGCTTATGTGAGAAAATCTGCCTTTCAAATACACTGCCGAATACTACTTACAAGTTTCACCTACGTTTAACTGCGATTTCGTTGAGTATATTTGAACAGTTATTAATGCCTACATAGCGAAATTGAACACTCCATTTGGCCAATGTCAATATCCAGCCCAGAACCTGGAAAGTCAGTTCAACCTCGTGTCCATCTTATCTTTTGAAGCTTTGTAGGATAAAAACTTCTGTTAACGCCCAGACTTTGGATCCGAGCAACATCTCTGGATCAGCGAGTTTTGGTACCACCGAGTTATTCACCAGAAGCTAAAAAAATATTATCCCCAGACATATGTGACCAAATGAACTTGCACTTTAATCGAGAATACAAAAACTTCTTCAGCACTAACTTGTCAATTGTTTTTAATGGGGCATTGCTCATATTTATTCCATCGTCTAGTCATGACTTTGAAGTTTGTTTGACCCACACTTTTGGAGAAATTCAAAGTACCTGACGCTAAAAAATACAACTTTGATCTATCATTCACCATATACACTTGTTACTTAAAACCAGAGATTCTGAGCGAAGACAGCAATCTAAGCAATAACTTTAAATCGCAACTTTGATATTTTGTATGAAGATTTGAAGTTGATAATCACTTATATTAATGTGGAAGGACATGGACTAAGAAAAGTTCTGTATGCAAACTTCCATACACTTGCTGATGTAGGCGTACTTGATGCATAGGACGGTTAGTCAATTTTAGGTTTGAGGTGCCGCAGCCGCAGCTGCGGAGAAACTTAGTCAAAAAAGTTGCCGAACTACAGACCCGCCCTAGGCATCATCAAGTAGGCAAGTGGAGCATAGGTGCTCGTACCTCGAATCTTTCAGTTTTGTGTATCTCTGGTACACTCAGGAGGACCGAACCCTACACCATGTAAGGAGCCAATTTACCATGCGGTACTACAATATTTTCCACCGTAATTTGACCTATAAAATTTAAAGTAATTACTACACAAAAGGTTTACAAATTTGCGCCCGTGTAAGAACTATCATTCAGTAAAAAATTTTATTAGTTGTTGAAACCATCTACAGGACCAATAAGCGCAAAAAAGAGCCCAATATAAGGCGTTATTCGCAGGTTCATGTACGTGTGCTCCACCGTAACATAATCTAGCTCAGTTTGATGAATGACACACACACAGACAAAGCCTGATCCTCGACCTGCCATAAAGATAGCGCTGAGTTGTGACACTCATCCACCATGTCTTGAAAAGTTTAAGTGGTGAGCAGCAGACACGAAAACTTCTCAGAATTAAATTCTTGTTATATGAAGTACTAGAAGTCTGAATATTATATGTTTACATAAAGTGCTAGACGTCTTGATATTGTAAGGATATTCAACTTCCAAGAAATCCAGAACGCGTGTAATTTGTTTCGAAATTATATTGTTTGTAGTAAGGCTATAAATTACCCGTAATTGAAAAAAAAAATCTAATTTAAAGGAGACATAGCGTCTTTAGATGTATCTCTTAGCTGAACACAATAATAATAGATTAATTAAACATCAAGTATAAATAGATAGAGCCCATTTTTTCTAAGAAATCTCAGGCTAACAAACCGACAGAAAAATAGAAATGTTAAAACAGCAAACAAATTGCACATTAAGATTCATATACGATGTACATTGTACATTAATCTGTGCATTGTTTACATTGTTTAGTACGTGAGCGTCCAGAGACTTGAACGCACGCACAATGAATACTTATCTATGCGCTCGGATTGGAGATTGCAATGCACAATACTGAATAATCTACATGAATCCATTAATAATGTACAGTGTAAAATTACCAGCTATATATGTTCTGAAGACTATATTGTGCAATATAAAGTGTGTTTATTAAAAAACTATAATAAAATAATGCACAAACTCATATCTTTGATTATAGAAGAAAGATATATAAATCATTAGCTTAATACTGCATAAATAATACACAAAAAACAAGATCTTAGCACCACTATCGTTGAGGACTCCGGAGCGTCCCGTAATTTAAAAATCCATCTTCCACTTCCACGTTGCACGTTGATTTCGGTTCATTTAATGACACTGTCATGTTCATTAGTCATGAACACTTTCATTTGCGATTTAATTCGTATCACTGTCTCACTTCACGTTCACTGGTCGCACTCATTTTTCACTGTTTGCCATTTTCACTTCCGATCTCGTCTTTCTTATTGCCGTTAGTTAGCAAGCGATGACGATGACCTGGAAAGCTATAGACTAGTGGCAGAGGTACTAGTGTAACTAATGACACCAGTGGCTTCTTTCAACAAGAAGATGTAAGTGGGAAGAAGGATTAAGCATTCAGAGCGCTGTCTTCCTAGACCTAGACTAATGACCGCCCTCAATGGCCACGGACCGTGCGCTGCTCAGCTCTCCCGTTACCATGTGACGCTTCGCTCATGTGAAGAGTAAAACGCTTTGCTCATGTGATGAGCCAAACGCGTTGCTCATGTGATGAGCAAAACTCAAGTGATGAGCCAAACGCTTTGCTCATGTGATGAACCAAACGCTTCGCTCATGTGATGAGCAAAACGCGTCGCTCATGTGATGAGCCAAATCCTTTTGTCATTATCATCAGTTACAGGTCAACCGGCTGAATATTTAAATCTTATGTAAGTTGCATTCTTGAGTAATAATTTCCAACGAAATTTTGAAAATATGTCACGCCTGAACTTGCTTGCACATTTTTTTTTTGTGACAAAAAGAGATTTATTTACGATTTTCTCCAATTCACGAGCGCCCAGCACAGTAATCCGGCAGAGAGGAGGTCACGTCGTTTGAAAGGTGATGACACAGCAAGCGTGTAGCGCAAACCGGCTCCTGCTTACCTGATAAGCGAAGCTCCGTACCACACGACGGCAGACGGCGAACTGATGCGTGCATTTGCCGCGACGGGGGTTTTATATGGAGGACTTTCATCGGGGGCGGCCTTCTGTTGTGTGGATACTCAGGCCTCCGGAGTATGTAACTCTTTTAGGACCGTGATGCCTATGATTAGTTTAGACGGTTAACATTTTTAAACCGGATCCATTAAACGTCGTCAAGGTTATTCGTATCTAAAGGCTTTGGGAGTAGAGTTATCCTAAGAACCTACAAATAGGCGGGTATCTTCATCAAGAAGACGCCAAGGTTGATCAAAAGTTTTCCAGAGCAAACAAAAATAAATAGACGGTAAACTCCACTCCCGATATACATAGATGACATGAAAACGCCTGTCTTGCCTCAATTCACAATTAGGCCTAGACTCGGATGAATCGTTGTTGTTTGTAAGTACGTCTTTATTACAATGTGATATAAATTACGATTAACACTTTTATTGAATCTTACTAATCGCATGAGGAGTATTCAAGATTTTACATTACTGTTATATAAAAATAAACAGCTTGTCTATCTCTTAACTATAGTTCCTTTTATAAACCTGTATAATAACAAAATAACTTATAAAAATAATTAACTACTTGAAATGGCTTGTTAGTTATAGTCTCAATTAAACGACATATTACCATCATAAGCTCAATTAGATAAAGAAAAGCTTGACTAAAAACTTCGAACTCAAACGGAGGTCAAGCATTTGGCCGCGCCTGAAGTGCCATGTGACGAAAGGTCTGACCGAACAAGAACTCTCCTCCAACCGATCTCCACCTGCATCTACTGGAATCATGCAGATCTCCAACAGCATCAACCTGAATCCACCCGATCTCCCACAGCATCAACCTGATTCCAACCGATATCCACCAGCATCAACCGGAATTCGAGTGATTTTCACCAGCATCAACCGGAATCCAACCCATTCATACCAGCATGAACCTGAAACCAGCCGATTCGTACCAGCAGCATCAACCGGAATTCCGCTGATTCTCACCAGCGCCTCAATCGGACCTCAATTAACCGATTCCCACCAGCATCAAACGAAATCCAGCCAATTCCCAGCTTCAACCTTCAACCATGCAGCTGATGCGGCATCAATGAACCGATCGCAGCAGTTAAGTAATTGTACATTATATGTTGGATAAGTTATTTGATGCAAATTATTTATTAAAAAGAATTAGCCGCAAGACAAATTAGAAAATCCACGTACATCTCGTACGGTAACAGGTAACAGAGATAAGTTTCCATTGAACACGAACAGTCTGACGCAAATTTGAAAATTATTCACAAATGTACATAAACGTTTAATGATTTGCATAATTCTTCGCTGGGAATTCTCTGAGCAAACAAACACCAAATAAATTATTAATTTGACAGCCTGAGCTCACATAGCATAATGTATGCATCCGAATATAAAATAATTTATGTAGCGTTAAATCAAGAGTAATGCAGTTGCGTGGAAGATTCGTAACAGAAGCACTTTTATGAGCACTTTTCTTTCGATCTATTCCTGTTTATACTTTTTAACATATTTTTCTTCGAAGCCAACATGTATTCCCTTACGAAACAGTGACTAAAAATGATAATTTGCACACTGAGTCACATATTTAATAAAAAATTTTCAGCTAATACTTCAATGTTTGTTCTCAATTGACCCTACACGAGCCTCAACTACATTCTGATAAACAAAGTTAATATATAAGAATTTATATTGTGCAAACATTTGAGACTACGAATGCATAAGCGAAAAATTAGTTTTCTCATTGCAGATTTTTAGTTCCATTTTGATCATCTATGAATAGCTAAGAATAGAATGCACATTCATTATTTCACAATTTTGCATAGCGTGCTTTTTAAAATCTTGAATGCATAACAATTAGTATCTCTCAAATTACTAGTCATGCGCTATTCACAATGAAACATGACTCTTACTATATAATAACACGCATGGGAGAGCGTGGTTCTTCTTCAATGCTACTTCAGATCAATTCACGTTGTTTCTCAACACACTTGAAGCGACTATAATTTATTCACAAGTTTGCGGTTGGCGTTCACACCATCTGGCGGTCAGTGCAAGCAAGTGTGAAGTAGAACATCACACGTTGGCAGAAGGCCATTATATGCATGCGAAATTTCGCACGCTCCTGTTTGCTTTCCATACGCGAAGAGCCTACAGGCAATATGATGCAACATTCTCCTTCGCCATAACATTCCTGAACAAAATATTCCACCAGGAAGTTAGGGAAATGAGAATCGTTCATCAACCTGACGTCGATCTTTAATGGACTTTCGAAGTTCATTGCTATCAGATGAAAGTATTTTTTGCGGAGATGATTGCTCACGCTGTGTGCAGCTCACAGATGACATCTGATATCACGCGTATGTGAAATGACTCAAAACGGTAAAAGAAGAATAATTGCCATGTGGTTTCTTTATCTTGATCGTTAGTGAGACATTCATCCATTCCTTAGTGAGACATTCATTCATCTCCTCGAATGAAGGAATGTGCATTCGATGGAATAGCGAGGATATCTTCTTCAAATCGCCAACTCGACGGAAAAGCTATCTTCCTGATCAGACTTATCCATATAGGTTAGCATCATTTCCAGATCGGTGGTCTGAATCGTAAAAAAAAGATTCAATACAAACTCCAACAAAATTGATTTCAATCGAGAGAGAATTGATATTTTATTTCGAGAATAATAAATCCTAACTCTTTCATGGAATTTGTATATTTAAATACTTCTACCTATAGCCTTATGACTGTGACAGAAATATTTTCACACATTTATACATAGTATCTATACAGGTCCTTTATATTAAATAGGTCCAGTCGAAATATATGGTATATCGAATACACGCTATTTTAGATATTAATAACCGAATTCTTTTCCAATTTGCTCCCAGTTCTTGCCAATGCTGAGCGACAAACGCGCGTCAAGTCATGTCTTTATTTGCAATTAACTCTTGGATCTACCGACTTTCAAACTAAGGTTGAATTGAGCCTTCTTTCACCGCCAGTATAAATGGTCTTAATCGGCCCCTGATAATTGTACTTTTGAATAACCAATGATAAAAGAAGGCTAAGGATTGCGAGCTACTTCAAATCTATGAAACACTTAACAAATATACCAAGAACGTCCCTGAAATACTGTTAACGGAGGAGTTATATATCCACAAGAATTAACACATCGCGAATTAATAGAGTTAGAGGATAATGAAGCAAGAAGTGTTTTAGGTCAACACGCATCTGCACATTACAAATGAGTAGATTTTGAGGTGGATGAAGCAAGCCCTGTGACTCGGCCAGATATGACCTCGAGAGCCGGAACTGCCGTTAATTGCTCTCTTGTCTCGTAACAGAGATTCATGGCAAAGTTTAACACACATTGTCATTTGTTCACAGCGAGTTACTCGGGTGTTGAATTTAAAAAAATATTTTTCAGTGGACTCTGATTAATGGCTGACATTTAGAAAGCTCGATGCAATGTTGCCAACTGATGAAGATGGAACTTTTAAGACTCACTATAGTAGAATCTCAAGACTCACTATAGTAGAACCTCGTTTCCCAAATCATGATGTAATCAATCAACTATTCGAAAATGAGCAAAAATTTTAGAGTCGTTCACAATGATAAAATTATATTAAATATTTCCAGTGCTTGAGAATTGATTATCTTCGTTATTCCATAAGCAATATATATTTACAAATTCAAACTGTTATGCAACTTTCATTATATATTCAAGCTCGCCGGGGACAGTGCAGAGAAATGGTGGGAAATTCAACATATCGAGATCGAAACTAAGCCAATGTACGTGCCTATACTCGACGTAATATAGAATGTAATATTTAATAAATGAATAATAATGATAATATTGGTAAGGAAAAACGAAGGAATACAATAATAATAATAATATTACTGAGAAAAAATTAATGAAGATAATAATAATAATATTGTCAAGAAAAAATTAAGGAAAGATAGCAGAAATTTAAAGCGTACGTATTGCTTACACTACCCATGTCAGCTGAACAAAGTACAATGTTGCTACTTTCAGCGAGCGAGCGCCACAAGATATGAGCGAGTACGAAAGTCAGCTCACTGTATCTCTGTTGCTGGTACTGAGGGCACTTGATAACATTTTTCATTTACTTTGTGTACGTAAGATCCAGTGACACAAGACCAAGAAAAGGGACGCCTCTGAAAGTGAACGAGGCTCTGTCGTCTTCCGTTGACATGCGGTCAATGAATGACCTACGCCAATATTTGCATGACGAGCGTATCACTCTGCCACGCGCTGCTATTAAGAAGCTATTTGCGTCACCATCATTTTTTGCTTGTTATGACTGTAAGAAATTCTTAGTCTGTTGTGCAAGCAAGAGACGCATTTTTTTTGCAAGGGCAGAAACTCAACGTAGAATATTAATGCTCTAGGAAGTATATTTTATGAAAATATTTGTGCAAAAATAGCTTGAAATACATTACGAAAAAAATGAGTTTCAAAAAGTTTCCTGGATTCAAATATTCAAAGATAAATTTATTTATGCACAGATCTTTCATTTGCACATTAAAAATGAATGAAAAATTCATTGTAGTAATATTTCCCATTTGCATCTGTATTTTGGTGCGGAGTACTGCACCGATTAGCGCATCACAGCGAGTTAGCAGCAGATTTTTGCACCTGTGCCTCTTTGCAGCAAGTTCGCAGAAAATTTGAAACCAATAGGTTGATGAAAGCGATCGATTCGCAGCAGGAATTGCATGTTCTAAATAGGCTTCAAAACAAAACATGCCTGCCTTGTACCTGCTCCCCAACAGCATCTATCCTATTTTGCGCGGTGCCGCCAGGAATTGAACCCAGCTTCGCATTTGAAGATGGGAAACGCGGCATAATTTGGGAATCATTAAGGCTCATGTACCGCCATTCCAATCAATATGTATCTAATGGCGTGAATCTTATTAAATGTTGCACTTGCGATTATTAATGGTTCATGTACAATATAGTACAATTTGGTAC